CGTTTTTGGTCAATATTTCCATTAACAGTTTCACATACCGTCATTTTAACATTTTTGTCTGCAGACTGTCGGACTCTCATTAAGAAATCTGATCAACAGTGTGGATGATATACTACCAACTCTGCATGTTTCCTGTAGAACAGAGGTAGTATTTGCCCTGTATCAAAGTGTTTCTGCAACCTGATTTCATACAAAGTCTGTAAGTTTTGTAAAACTTGACATACTTGGTACAAATCAATGCAGTTTCTAAGTAAAATGTCCACTAAATGGCGCTAAAAGTGAGTTTAATCTTTTCCATTACAGCTGAGATTTTAATAAGAGTACAAATGTTTCCCTTAGATTGAAGGCACTCAGAAGTTGTTGAATAAGGACTTGGCTGAGCTCATCAATAAGATGCGGCTGGCCCAACAGAATGCCATCACCTCTCTAGAGGAAGAGTGCAAGAAACAGATGCTGGCAGCAGCCCACAGTTTGGCCATGGATGCCAAGAACCTATTAGATGCTGTAGACCAGGCCCGAGTGCGCTCAAACTTGGCCAAACCCAAACCTGAGGACGTAGACTCACTGACAGACTAGAAAAGCTGCTTGGGACATGCTGACTTGCGCATACACAACTGTCCTATACACAGCTTGAGTATAGGACAGACTGATTTATCTGTATAATATTGTAATGCAGTAACGGGGCAAAACCAACACCAGTATGGGACATGAAACCAATAGAAATTCAGGCAACTGTTGTACTGCTGTCATATCATGTTAAGTGACTTATGTAAACATTTATGATTTAGAAAACCAAGCAGGCCAGAGGGGTATTCCCCTATATATATATGTGTAAGCAGGGTTAACTTACAGTCACATATACCCAGAACTTTTGGTTGATTAACCCAAAGCTTTCTTACTCGCAGTAAGAAAAATGTTCCAAAAATGCATTGCTATCTTCTAATATTCAAGCAGTTTTTGTTTATTACTGTGAAAACAATTATATTGTTTGTTTGATGCTAAATATAAAAATTTGTAAATGCAAGACTGACTGTGTAAGACTGATTGAACAAAAAAATTGTACTTGCCGTTTTCTTTTAGCAGTTTTCCTTCCATGTTTGGTGTAAAAAAAAAGACATTTTGAATGCATATTCACAAAGTGTGAAATGAGGATAAAATAAATGTCGCTTTATGTCAGTGGTCACCAACCTTTTTAGGCCCAAGATCCCTGACCTCGGCCTTTATGAAAGACAAGATCTACCTATTGAAGAATGTTCCCCTGTAAAAATCGCATTCGGGGGTAAAACCGAGTGGCATCCTCCCGCTCTCTCTCGTGAAGCCAACAAGGAAGTGACTTAAACTGTAATTCATCGACTGGCCGCTAGAGGC